TTCAAATATTTTAATTATTATTCTTCTAAATAAATTTTTGTTAAAATTAATTGTCTTTATTTACAACACAAACGCAATTTCTGCCTGTACTACATAGGCGCCTGAAAGCATGCTACATGCCATATACACTCGTATGCAACTGTATTTAGTAGTGTGGTGAATTTCTACACAAGCATAGGTAGCGCGCTATTAATAGCACTTTAATGAACGCTACTTTAGTTCAAATTGTTTAAGTGTTATGCATAAGCATTCCAATAGAAGACTGCATGTTCGAATCCCAACGAAAGTCTGCTACAAATTGTTGCACAAAGCCATCAATATTGAAGTACTTTTACGAAGCCGCTCTATTTGGCCGGATTTATTCTCATATGAAAATATCCGTTAATGCAAGAGCAGGCAGATTGAGTTATGGAGGGGATTACGCCTTCGGTGCCCACAACGGTTATAAATCCGTGGGTTAACTATCATCCTTGTTTCCCGCCACAATTGCTTTTTGAAGCAACCCATTATATTTTGTTTACTAATACATACATATTTTTAACATCATTTCTTATTATTTCTCTTTCTTCTTTCCATTTCAGAGTCAAAAACGCCGGCAAACCAGCTGAGCTACAAATTTTCCATCTCACTTCCAGCACGTACAAGCCATTCCGTTTCGAGTTCTTGATCAATAAAATTAATGCATTCCTCCATGAATATCCGCTGGTGTCCGCTGTTTGGTAATTAGCAAATAATTATTTGGCGCAAACGAATTTCTTCTTACAATGCTTATATTTTCTTTCAGGTATCCAAATCTCAAGTTGGTCAAGAGCTTATTCCTCTTCCGTTTAGGCGCTATACTGTTTCACTTTATACCCGGTTTCTTCCTGGACTTGGTCACCAAACTTAGCGGTGGCAGACCCATGTATGTCAAATTCTGTCCATACACATAAAATTATAAAATAAATTTTTTTACAAATTTTCCAGTCTCATACGCCTGCATAAAAGTGTCTGGAATTCGTTGAATACTTTGGAGAAATTTATTTTTACTGAATGGCATTATGACAGCAAACACACGTTGGCGCTGTCGAAGCAGTTGGATCCACGTGATCGTGAAACATTTTTCATTGATATTGGCGATTTAGCTTGGGATGATTACTTCCTCAACACTATTATGGGCGTGCGGCAGTATCTAAGCAAGGAATCGCCGAAAACATTATCGGCTGCCAGAAAGAAGGATAAAATGTAAGCAAATTGCACTAAGTAATTGAAAATGCCATCACTACTTTTTTCTTTTCTATTTACAGTTTGTTGGCGTTACATGTTGCCCTTCAATTGGCTTTCTACTATGGTATATGGAAGCTAGCTATATTTGCTTTTGGTCTCTCCAACGCCAAGGCTGCGCTTATACTGCCAGTTGCCTACTTCCTTTTTGGACTTATTTAAGAACATCATCACAATTAATACATATCACATATATTTTCTTTACTTGAATCTTGTGTGGATTCGCCGTGAATTTTTTCTGTGTAATTGCGTACACAAATATTTATTTGAATTACCGATTTAAAGAATCATCATTTTTTATTTTCTCTTAACTTCAAGGCTTGGTTTATTTGCAGTACTTATTGTCAATATACGTATAAATACTAAATAAAGTGTTTTTTTATAACTAAAATAAAAAATGTAAAAAAAATTTACTGTTTACAAAATTATTATTTTTCTTAGCCGCTATCATTTTTGGTTTTTTGATATTTCATTCAACACCTCTATGTGTTTTTGCTTTGCGCGTTTTTCTTTAAAGGTCATTTTTCCTTTTCGTTGTTGTGGCGCCTTCCTGACAGGTTTCCGTCCGTGATCCAACCAGTCACGTATGGCGCTTTCAGCATCTAAATGTGCTGGCAAATGTATTTGACGTATCATACGTGGACGTACCATAAACTGTTCGAAGGGATATTGAAGGCCATATCTATCTATAAACACCGCATCTATTAAGTGGATATTCATAAATCCATCACTTCCAGTGGCATCAATACGTCCGGCCACAGATGATTCGTTTCGCAAATCTATCAAAACTGAATGACCGTCCAGCAGAAATGGTAAACAGTTGAGAGTATTTGTGATGAGATAAATTTCTTTTCCGCTGGCTTTTTGCATGATAAAACTAAAATTTCATAGGAAACTCTCTAATGGTAATATTTTTAAAAATTCTCCAAGAAATTCCCATGATTTATTTGTGTTGACAGTTGTTACTTTTGTATATTCACAATGATTAACATCATTTTGATAGTGTGCTGTTCACGATAAAAGAAGTGAACGAGTTATATTGTAATATACATTTTCAAAAAAGAATAAGCCTTTTTTTTGAATTTAAATTAATCTCTTTTTCGCATAAATAATGTTCAGTGATACGTTTTTATAATGTTAAATAAACTGTTTTGATTGATGATTATTGTCATTTGTTATTTGTCAACGCTAAACAATGAGTGTATTGTGAATGACTTCTTGTAAAGAAGCAGGTAGTAAATAAACTATGAAATAAACTTCACGCGTAAAACAAAGGGTAGAATTGTAGAGATTAAATTATTTTGAAATAAATGTAAGGAAATACAACACAGATCAACACTAGTTTTACCTTGATTATATAAAGGTGAAGTTATCAATATTTGCGAAATACACGCAATAAATATAAAATTTATAAAACTCGACAAGAATGGAAGCAGAGAAACCTCGTGAGAAAACTGCAGCCGAAAAGCTGGCTGAGCGTAAGACACGTTTGCGTGAATTGCACAAACAGCGACAGGAGGCACGCACGCAGAATAATCATGAAGTGATTGCTGAGGATGCCCGCAAAAAGTTACCCAACAACTGGGAAGCACGTAGACGTCAAGCAGAATGGCTGATAGCAGATGAAAAGGCACGGGAGGAGGCCACACAACAAGGCAAAGATTATGACCGCTTAAAGTTATTGTCTGTATCAGCAGTTGACGCTGAGCGTATTGAAAAAAAGAAACGTAAACAGAATCCCGATATAGGTTTCTCCACATTCGAAGCACAGACAGCACGTCAATACAATCGTTTGGTCAAGAACTTGCCACCACGCGATATGGCCAAATATGAACAACAAAAAGAAGAGTTAGGTGAAGCATTTTATGGTGGACCCAACACTATTTTGCAAGGTTTAGTAAAGGATAAAAAATCTTCAATCGATAACATGGCCAAAGATCTAGAACAACAAATCGAACGTAGAAAGAAATATTCGCGTAGACGTACTTACAACGATGATGCCGATGTCGATTTCATTAATGAGCGCAACTCTAAATTCAACAAGAAACTACATCGTTTTTATGGCGAACATACAGCGGAGATCAAACAGAATTTGGAACGTGGTACTGCAATATAAGCATATTACTGGTTTTAAGCAAAAACAATCATGCTTTAAACTGTCATTAGCTGTAGGCATAATAACTCTAGGAATAAACAAAATTTGTTGTACACAAAAATCACTGTTTTGATTTTAAATCTGTTCACACTTTAGAATATTTGAGTTGATTATTCGTTATTACAAATACTAGCACTCAAATTTACGCGTATCGAAAGTTCTCCAAAGACAGTCGTTCAGCATCTTTATTTATCTGTGCCATTGTATCTTCAGATATAATTCGCACCACACCGTCATCCATATCGTCATTGGGACTGTCATCAAGCACACATAGAAGACTGTCATCCTCGTAAGTGGGAAAGAAATATTCAGGCTTATCCCATTGCTTTTTAGTGCCGCAACTGAAATGTTTCTCGGCTTCCATATGATGTAGTAATTTTTCCTAAAATAACTTACATCTGTTAATTTGATGCAGAAATAAAGAAAGCATACTTACTTCATCTTCACAACGCAAATTGCAGGTTACACAGCGCATCAGACATATTTGTCGTCGCACATAGTTAACAACTTTAATTTTCTCATAAAAATTCAGCCCCAGTAGCGCTGACTCAAAGTCCACGTTATGTGCGGCTAGCATATGTTTCTTTAGAACCTCGAATTTTTCCTCTTTGTGTTTACAATAAAGACAATTGAAAGGAGACATCTTTCCCATATCTTCATCCCAATCAGACCAGTCTGAATCACTTGCGTCACTCTGGCTACGCACAGGAAAATGGTGTTCAAAATCTGGTGATGTCGCCAATTCGGGTGAGCGAACTTCTGCTACTGTTTCTTCTTGTGTTTTACGCCTTCGCTCAGTTTTCCTTTTTCCAACAGGTGGTTTACTGTGTGGCTTTTTATTGCGATAGTTAAGCAGAAAGAAGCGATCATATTCACGATTATTGGGATTTATACGTTTGTGTGCTTTTTTACGCATGTGCTCCTTTAAAGTGGATCGATCTTTGAAAACTTTTTCACAATAGAGACACACTAAATTTTCAAGATTGCTTTGTACTTTTGCCAGTAGCTCATCTATATAAACCAGATTTTCAGGTTTACCTAATTGTAAGAAGTGTTTATTGAATAAGTGCTCCAGAAACTCGGAACGCAACCCAGTAATAATATCACGACAATAGAGACATTCCTTTGTAAAATTACGATCTGTTAATTCGAACTGATGCTGAGCGAGTGCACGTTCCAGGTGATTTTTCTGTAGATTGTGGCGCAGTTCGTAATCTTTTGGTAATATATCGCTCAGTAAATAATATCTTTCATTTTTCGCAGGTGTACCATCTGGCAATTGATCCAGAAGCATTGTGGTGCAATATTGCTCCAACTCATGACCTACAATTCAAATTCCATTATAACTTAATATTTCAAATATATATTATATATAACTCACCTGTGAATTCTCTAAGCCAATAAATCAAATATTCTTCCAGTAATGGAATATCTTCCACATCTGCTATAACCAATCGGTGCTCCAAAAACAGGTGTGCGAGATAGTCATCTTTGTCTGCGGGAAATTGATAAACACTTTCGCACTGTAGGCATTGAATATTGGCTGGTTTAGATTTCCGTAAATTCGAGTTGGTCGATTCCTGGCTAAAAGACAATGCTGGAAGTATTTCGTTTTCATGATTACTTTCCTCCATTTCTCAACATATCTGAATCCTATGGCTTTTTTAGAAATCAAAATAATTAGAAATGTCAATACAAAACAGCTGTTAAAGCCTATTAACAATAGATGATACCATTGAGAAATTGTGTAAATATTTCTCAAGTTAAATATATAGAGTTAACATATTCAATAAATAAAACTGTATAGTAAAAATCTGAATTAATTTTTACTTTAAAAAAATATTAATTTTTATAATTTGAGATTCTCCCATTGCCAATAATTGACGATCTCAAGTCTACACCAAATTTTGGAGACTAAAAACGTCATATGATCGCAGCACGTAAACGTTCTCAAACCTGATGACAGGCGAATAGCAAAAGAGGGAAAAATAAAAACTTTATTCATTTAATTTCCAATTGGTGAAATATTATTTCGGTTCGCGAAATAATTGTACAATTCGTAAAATTTAAATATTATAAAGTTTATTGAACTGTTAGAGTGGAATATGAATTTTATTGTACAATAATGGTTGAAAACTAGTGCATAAAGAAAAGAAAGCAATCTAATATAAAACGCACAGAACGATATTACAGAAAAAGCAGATAAATTTGCGAATTGTGAAAGCAACAGACAGTGCTGATAAACTTAAAAGCCAGAAAACGGCAAATCAGATTTTTGGAAAATCTGCAATTACGGCAAATAAGATTTGCAGATTTGCAGCTAACGTCGGTAATCATATTGCGGTAAGTTATTTGGAATTTATACAATTTCAAAATTATTAATAAATTAAATTGGTTGCTATTTTGGAGTTATGCAGGTTTATGGTAATGTATTAACGCAAATATTTTGATATCGAAAATAATGGCTGTCCCTATTTATACACCCACCAAAACAGCAAAATATACAATTTTTTCGGTTTTATCAACTCCTTCAACATTTAAGGATGTACATATATATATAATGTGCTTAATGACGTGGGGTAGTCTAAATTCTTTGTCCTCATATAACTCGCAAAGTTGTTTTAAAATTGAATTACTGCTTTACATACTTGATAATTTACAACGTCATTCAACAAAGCAACAGGAAATGACAGACAACGATAAGGTGTGCGTTCGGATATTTTATCTCCCTTTTCCGATCCTGCCGCTTTCGCACAGTGATAAGTATTATAATGCTTATCGCTTCCTAATTTATTTCTTATCATTGCAAATTTGTCTCCAGTTTTTATGCAAACTTTGCAGATGTTTTATTGGGACATAACTACATCTATGGAAATACGTAATTATTATAATCTTATTAGAAATTAAAAAAAGAAAAGAAATCATTTATAAAAATAATATAAAATATCAAACTCCATGCGGGATTTTCTCAAACAAGTTAGGGCTGTGGCATTCTTCGTAATTATATATTTGTATGTACTTAATTCCTTTGTTAGTTTTTATTTCATTTGCTTTTAAAATATTGTTTTTTTTTAACGCAATGAGTACTGAGTGCGTTTGCGTTCATGTGTGTTTATAAGCAATGTGAAGAAAGGTTCACCTTACCAATGGCAGCTGCGCGAATTTTTTTTTATCGCTTTCTCAGTATTTGACTTACAAATTATGGACTAACTTTAGAAACGTTAGGGTTTTTCTTGTAGTTACTGTCTGCAAAAAATGAAAAAAATGTATATACTTATTCTCGTTATTATATATGTTGGTCAGTTAAAAAAGTATCAAATTATATGAGTAAATTTACAAAAATATTAGAGTTAGCAAGAAATGTATTATAATTATTTAAGTACATATGTATGTATTTGGAGAATTGCTGGAAAAAATTTCCTTAAATGTTAAAGTAATTGCTGCCACTCGCGTCCCATCCCTATAATGTTGTGCATTTGGCGCCAGTAATCTCTATCATGTCACTTAATGATAGCGTATCTACGATTCACTGCAATTAGCGCAAGACAGCACTTTCACTATTCTGTGTTTATTATATTTGTTATACGTATGTATGTATGTATGTACATATTTAAACATACCTATGTATTTACAAATATTTAGGTATCTAGTCGCACAAATGTATGTACAGTATGTATGTAAAGTTAAATTGTTTTTGGGTTTACTGTTATCTAAAAGAACAAAAATAATAAAAAATTAAAAAAATAAACAAACTAACAACTAGAAACAAATAACTGTTATCAGCTCATTTACATGCACACAATCA